TGCCACTGGGTGAGGAGCAGAACCTTAGGTGGTTCACCAGGGCCGGGCCACTCAGAGTCACTGGGTTATGACGCTGTATGTGGAGGTGGGGTCAGAGCAGGGAAATGGCGGCGCCCTCCCTGCCGCTTGCCGCGGGGACCCGCTGGGTCCCAGTCCAATCGCCCACTCCCTCGCTTGTCTATCTGCGCACAAATGCGCGACCACAGTCAACCCGCAGCCCTGCTCCCTCACTGTTTCTCCACGGTTGCTCACTAGGTCCAACCCTGCGCGTGGATTCTGCGCACGCCTGAGTCCATCTGACCAAGTTTTCCTGTACAATCCCGCTCCACCAGCTGCTGGTTTCGCCCCTCTTACCGGTCAGGCTGAAGAATTTGTTGTTAACAGACTTCCGAAAAGTTCAATTTTCTGTGTTCTGGCTGTGTTTTCTATTGCTAATATTTAGTTGTCTCTAAACTTGGTTGTGTGTCCATAACAACTATTAACATACTACTTACATTGTATTAGGTACAGCAAGTAATCTGGAGATAATTTAGGGTATGTATAGGTTATATGCAAATACTGGGCCATTTTATATAAAGGACTTGCGCACCTGTGGGTGTGGTACTCCCAAGGGCTCCTGGAACCAATTCCCTGAGGATACCAAGAGTCCACTGTACTCTGAAAATACTAGCTTTCAAATTTCTCTCTAAGAAAGCCCCTCCCCCATTTCTAGGAAGGACTAGCTCCCTCCTTTCATGGGCCACCTGCCATCAACATTAAACAGGATTCTTTCCTCTCCAACTCAATTGTACCACCTTCTCTGCACCCTCACGTTATTCACTCCAAGGGGTAGTAGGTTAGTAAGCCAGCTTTGCAGTGGGCAGGTGAAAGCCTTCTTTGTAGCACTCATCAATTTCTGTAGATCTCCCACCAGCTCAATTTCAAACTATTGACACAGTGTCACTGGAGGTGCAGCTGAGAAGAAATGCAGAGTTGGTTCTCATGCTCAGGGTAATGTATGGGGTGGGGGGTGGGGTTCACCGCTTATTGGGAGTCTTCCTCTGAAACCTCTTCTCAGACTTCAGCTGGCACACAGGCCCGCACAGAATGGGTACTTAATAAATAAATGCATGTCAAATGAAGTAGTCGACTATTCCTTCCTTTTACCCACTACCCATCTGGGACCCTGAATTCTTCTCTACTGCATGCAGTGGAATTCACGTATTTATGTCTCTTGTTCCCATCAGACTGCTAGCTGGTAACCTTGAAGGATGCTGTTAGACATTCTCTCCTTCTGCCCTGCTGGTTTTGACACCATCTTCTCCATCACTTTTATGTCCTCTTACCCTAAAAGTGCATATTTACTCAAGACCTAGTCCTCTGCCCTCTTCTTACTAATCACTTTATATCAGCGATTTTCAAACGCCGTGCCACAAGAAGTTTTAAAACATGCAACACCTGACTGTTTAGTCAGGGGCACTGACCTCTTTTCCCTTAGTGTGTCAAATTAAAAAATGACAACAGCCAACACAGTAGCTGTCCAGTGTGAGTGAATCAAAATTGTACCTACTTTTTATCAGATCAGCAAAAAATATATATTCTGGTGTGCCACAGAATTTTAGTAATTAGTTTATGTGTGCTCTCTGCTTTATATAACTTGTGTTCTAGATATGACAGGTTCTCTAGAGTTCAAAGGTGAGTCCAGAGTTAATAAGGTGTGGAGGATAACAGGTAGAAACAGGAATGTCTGGGTCCCAAAGGAACCAGGACGGCTTTATCCCAATGATGACTGTGTCGTGTAAAAATACAAACAGCAAATCAATCAATCAATCAATCTAGCTATCTTCCCACCCTGGCTGGTGTGGCTCAGTGGATTGAGCGCTGGCCTGCAGACGGAAATGTTGCCGATCCCCAGTCAGGGCACATGCCTGGGTTGCAAGCCAAGTCTCCAGCTGGGGGGGTGACAGAGGCAACCAATCACTATTTCTCTCCCTCTCTTTCTCCCTGCTCTCCCCTCTCTCAAATAAACAAACAAACAAACAAACAAATAAAAGGCTTTTTAGCTGTGCTCTTCTTGTGGGAAGAATTTTTATCTGTGAAGTACTTACTATATGCCAGGCTTTGTACTGTTTTATATCAGAGTATTTAATTCTAACAATCCTGAGACAACGCTAATATTATCAATGCCAATTTTTAGGCTAGACTGCTTGCTCGCAGCCATGCAGCTAGTAAGAAGTGGAGCTGGATTAAAAATCAAATCTGTCTGACAGGAGTCTCATGACCTTGGCCTTTCCACTGACACTTCACATCTGAGCTCTCTGTTTACCTGTCAGGTCTTCCCCACCACGTGGTAAGCCCTTCATCATGACTGACAGGCTCCGAATCCATATTAATGTTTAACAAATTAACTGTGAATAATTAGGTCAGGCTGACCTACTCTTTGTTTCCTCAGAACCTGCAGTTTTATATTCTGAAATTAACTATTCCGTATATGGAAACGCGGCCCTTAAAAAATAACATCTAACTGAACCGCACACCTAAAAACAGTAAAAATGGTAAATTTCATATTTGTATATTTTACCACACACACACAAAAAAGAACAAAACAAGCAAGTGCCTTGGCTGGTATGGCTCAGTGGACTGAATGCCAGCCTGCGACCAAAGGGTCGCTGGTTCGATTCCCACTCAGGGCACATGGCTGGATTGTGGGCCAGGCCCCCAGTAGGGGTGCATTCAAGAGGCAACCACACATTGATCTGAACCTCTCTTTCTCCCTCCCCCTCTGTCTAAATATAAATAAATAATATTTTTAAAAATTTTTTTAATGAAAAGCAAGCCAATGATAGTGTAAGGGTTCCTAGAAAAAAGAAAGCCCTAGGCCACTCAGTCAATAGCAGCAGTGGTATCACAGGAATAAGAAGCAGGAGGAGATCCAGTTGGACCACCTAATACAAAGGGACCACCCTTGCCAACTAATTAGGATAGTTACTGATTCTAGGCATTGTATCTCACTCTACCGCCACAATAGCCCGATGAGGTGTGGATTCCGTTCCTACCTTATAGGTAAATGCTGTGGCTCGAAGAAGCCAACTGAACTGCCTGAAGTTCACAGAGTGTAAGATCAGACTCTGAAACCAGTTCTACCCAACTTCAAAGCCAGGAATTTTCACCAAGCGTGATCCAAGTGAATGTCAAAAGTAACACATTTTTTTACAGTCTAGAATCTCAGAGATAAAAGGATTTCGTATCTAAACCCCACTTTACAGCTGAGGTAATAGAGGCTTGGAGGGGGTCCTTGTTTAAGGTTACACATGGGTGACAGCTTCAAATTCCTACAGATTTTGTACTGTGGGTGGGGGAAATGATCTTGAATATTCATTCTTCCCAGCTTTCCAGTTCTAAAATGGAGAATATCCCTCTGATCGTAAACCTGGGTGGAGCCCAGGCATGGACCGGAAGGTCAAGGGCTATTTGCCACTGGCCTTGGCAAATGCAGACAGGTTTTGTCATTCCTCACCTTTCCCCCACATACAGGCTCCCAGGGTTTAAGGAGGAGGCGTGTCCCAGGCTTATCCTACTGGCAAAAAGACTAAAAGACTCCTTCCTTCTCTACCCCTACCTGTTGCCAAATTTAAATGAGACTGGGCCTAATCTCATTTTAATTTGTTTTACATGTCTGCACTCCCGTAATTTCACAGGAACCACCTTGGGTGATTTTCCTGAGAGGGTGGGGGTAGTCAGTGATGACAATGGGTTCAGGGGGTCCTAGATGGGAAGAAAAACAGCAGCCCAGTAGCTGGGGGTGATGCCTGTTATAATCTTTGTTCTGTTCATGGGGAGGGGAGCACTGATCTCCAGCCCCTGGACTGGGAGTATTCTGATGGCAGTTTGGAGAGAAAGACAAAAATACCTTTGAGATGAGTTTAGAATGTGGTACCAGGAACTAACGGGTGAGTAAAGATAAAGTCTGATTTTAGAGGGTGAAGGGATTTGGGGAAATTTCTAATATTGGAGAAGGAGATCTGGCAGTTCAAGTAAAGGCTGCGAGTTTGAAGGCTGAGAAAACGGGAAACTGAATTAAAGAAAATACTGGGTGAAGGAAAGGGTAAGGAGAAGGGAAAGGTTTACTGAGACAGCTTACACTGGGGAAGTAGATTCTAGGTGGTGTTTTAGAAGAGGGGGGGCTAGCCTGGTGAGAAGGAATAGATATGATTTAGGTGGGCCCTGGATCTAATCCAAATAAGAGTTTGAGAGAGGTATCTTTGAGGGCAGTACCTAGAATAGGTAATGTGTGGGTGGGCTTCAGTTGCAGGGGGTTATGTGGATTAGGGAGGATATTTTAGGGGGCGTGCGAGGAAGGTTTGATCATGGTGAAAGGTTTCCAGGTGAAGACTGGATCAAGAATGCCGAGGACTTGGGGGAGAGGAAGATGAGTGCTGCAGTGTGCTTGGGGAACTGATGAGGGCGCTAGAAGAGCAGAGTGCTGTTGAAATGGAGTGGTGGTGGGGGGGCGCTGAGGGTTCTGGGTAACAGTGACAAGGAAGACGGAGTGCTGGGAGAAATTGAGGGATGATAACTATTATGTATCAGGAATTGGCCTGACCATATTCTAGGCGAGAATGTGGGGCAATCATGAAAGCACCTCAGGGAACACCCCAGGTGGAAGGATTAGAGTGGTGTTGGAGACCTGCAGGCTGGTTATTTTTGCAGGGAAAAATGCGAGGAACTCTTAGGGTATCTGTTTGGAAGCTGGGTTATTGGAGAGAGAGTTTGAGAAAGGGTCAGGATGGAGAATGTGAGAGAGCAGTGGGGCGTTTTAGAATAGAATTTGCGCGTTCTGAGGTTCCTGTGTCAAGAGATTCTATAAGTCACAGGATTTGCAGACTGGGGGATGTGGCAGCATCCCAGGTAGAATTCTGGGGGCAGAAGCGGGTTCACTAGAAGAGTAATGAGTGAGTCTGGAGTGAGACCTGGGCTGATCCTGGACGGGCAGTGGGCGGCGGGGACCCACAGGGCCTCACCTGGGCAGGCTGTCCTGGTAGTGCATAGTGGGCACGATGCTGCGCTGCAGGAACTGGCCCGGCCCGGAGTCAGTGGTCAGGCGCCGACGGGGCGCGCCCGAGCCCACGGCGGGGCCCCGCAGCCAGGCACGCAGTAGCAGGCGGGCCACCATGGTCTCAGGAGGCTGCAGCAGCAGAACACCGGCGATGGGGAGTTCTGTTGCACAGTCAGGGGTGTCCCCGGCAGCAGACGCCGCGTCGTGAACGCCTGCGCAGTTCGCGTCGGCGCAGAACGACCTCTGGCCTCCGGCCCCGCCCACGGAAGGGCCAGCCCCGAGCCGGGCCAGCCCCCAGTTCCCGATGCTCCGAGGGTCCCTCCCGATGCTCCGAGGGTCCCGCCCGGTGCCTGCCTGCCTGTCTGGCCGCCTCCTAGCTCTTGGTTCCGCTCTCCTGGCCGTGGAAAAAGAAGCCCCGGAACCACTCCCTTCTCTTTTATTGGAGCAAGACGAAAACTGGAGCTGAAGGGAGAAAAAAAGCTTTTGGAATCTGATAAATTCGATCCAGGCTCTGTCCCTGGGATATCGTGGGCAAAATTTTAAACTTCTGTTTCCTCACCCGAGAAATAGAAATCGTGATCGTTCAGCGTACCTCCCCGGATCCTAGAAACGAGTTACTGACTTGATATGTACAGTGCCTGGCGCATTGTAAATGGTGGCGATTATTGTTAGGAACCGGTTACGTTTACCCCGTAGGTGCCTGACGTGATTAACGCCACACAGCTGCCCTGCGAGCTCACCCGAGCGGCCGTTAGAGCAAATGCGTGTAGAAGCCAGAACCATGGGAGCTGACCACCTCTTCTGTGCAAAGACCCTTCAGAGCACTATTCCGATCTGCTTGATCTTTCTCGGCTTAAACATTTCCAAAGGTAGGAAGCTCTGCCTTCGGCTATAGAAAGTCTTCCATCCTCAGTGGACTCATGAAGCTGCCTGTCAGCCCCACACTTCACCTCCAAGTTTCCTTGCAACTCTGACTTTAAGATTATACAACTTGAACAAATATGCATCATCCCTCATCCATCACAAAACAAACAACCCCACCACACACTAATCCCTGCTGTCCAAGGCAGCTGAAGGATTAAATACACTCTGCTCCCATTTTACAGAAGAGAAAAGGGAGGTATCAACAGACATAAAATCATGCTGTCTGGCTTGTGGTACGGAATCCCATTCTGGAAACAGCTTTCTCTTAGCTCAAGCTCTCTGTGGATTTGAGGCACCGAGTACAATTTGGTCTGACCCAAAACTGCTAAGCAGTGCCTGAAGCTGAAGTACATGGGGAAAAAGCACTGGGCTGGAAGTCAGGAGACCTGCGTTTTGGTCTCAGCTCTGTCCTTATCTAATCAGGTAACCTCAGGTTCTACAGGAAGATCAGTAGCCAGCTCTGACACGCATTCAGTAGTGACTGTGAATCCTCAAGATCTCAAAAATACTATCTATTCTTCCCTTGAGAGGAAAACACAGAGCCGACCCTAGTCTATAACATTCACTGCCTGCGGTGCAGGGGCCAGAGGAAGAACATCGAATCCTTTCTGAAAAAAGATCACTTCACCAAATCCAGACAGATCACTTCACCAAATCTCAGTGCCTTGAAACCTGAGGCATAGGTTAGGAGCTGTGTAGAACTAAGGAAACCAGAAGACCCATAAGTGGACCCAGTAGAAGGGCAGTGGCTCAATTCTAGAGACAAAGGGCCAAGGAATAGTGCCCATCTAAAATAACAGCTAAAGGAGGGGCTCAAAAGCCTGGGTGCATAGCTGACAGGAACAAACCTGACCCCAGGCCGGTGCCCAAGGCCTTCTAATCCTGCCCCTACCCCTGCTTCTCCACTTCTGTCACGTCACCCCCAGTACCCTGCGCCATAGTCACAATTGAACTACTTGAAATTTCCAGAACTTGTCCATACTCCATGCCCCTTTTTAGCTGTGCCTCTGTCTGGAATGTTCTTTTCAGGCATCTGCCTAATTTCCCTGTGACATCATTTAAACCCCATTTCAAGACTCACAACCTCTACGAGGTCTTCCTTAATCCTCATCCTTTCTCCGTCCCATGAGAAAAACTTCCTTCCTCTGATTCCAAAGCATTGTATCACTGTTACAAATACAACTGTATTATGACTTATTTAATTATCGGTTCATCTCTCACAATAAACTTTGAGGTCCTCCAAGGCAGAAATCTTGTTTTCATTTTTGTACCCAGGTGTCTAGCACAAGGCCCATCATGGGTACACACTTTCCTTCCTTTTCCATGGGACGGCCCTGGCCCCTACAGCATGTGGAGGATGGGCCACAGCTGGAAGACCAGAAACACTATATGTTGCTGTGGAAGGGTCGAGAATGTTCCTCCTTGGAGAGAAATTCTGAAGAATACGTTGTTCGTGTTGAAGTAATCCCAGAGCTCTGCTCTGTTTCTAATTAACTGAAAAAGAGGAACGTGGTGGCCAGATTAAAGTAACATCCTTATTCAAAAACAAACTTATTAAAAACAATAAACCTTAAATAGACCGTAGAAGAGGTCACATTTCAATAAAAAAGAGACCTAGCTGGGTAACAATGAACAAAGGCAATAAGTGTGAACACCCAAATCTTCAGAGAAATGACAGGAACTAATACCAAGAGTTGGCCTGGAAGTTTCCAGTTGTCTGTTTCTACTAGATCTTACCTGGACCAAATATTGCTTGTAATATGGAGACACATGGGCCAGGCCTCAGAAAGTGCTGCCTAATTTAATGCAATTTGTTGTAATGAACTCCAAATTTTAAAGAGAAACTGAGTGTGTGAGAAAATATTTAAATAAAAAACCATGAAACCGAAGTGTAAAAAAATGCTCTCTCTTCCTGCCCTATTGTGATGGTTGATTTTATGTGTCAGTTTCACTGGACTAAGGGGTGTTCAGACCCCTGATGAAACACTATTTCTGGATGTGTTTGTGAGGGTGTTCCTGGAGGGGATTAGCATTTGCACTGGTGGTCCGAATAAAGGAGGTTGCCCTATCAGTGCAAGTGGGCATCGTCCAGTTCATGGAGGTCTGGAAAGAACAAACACATGGGGGGCGGGTGGGTTTGGTCTCTGCTTGAGCTGGGACATCCGCCTTCTTCTGCCCAAGGACATCCGACTCCCGGTTCATCAGCCTTTGGATGTAGACTGGGGTTTCCTGAGCCTCCAGCCCTGTCATTCTCTAACTAGGTAACCCCCGGTTGAACAGGAAGGTCACTAGGCAGCTGACTTTCATTCACAGGTGACTATGAATCCTTAAGGCCTGAACATGACACTCAAGGCTTCCCTGGGCCTCCAGCCTGCCGATGGCCTGCTCAGCCTCTGCAGTCTTGTGAGCCAGTCCTGCATAATAAATCTCTTTCTATCTACTTCTCATCTCTCTTTCTATTTGTTCTGTTCCTTGAGAGAACCTTGACTAATACATACAAACAATTTTAAGACTCATTTATGAATACACTAGATGTTTGGTTAAATCAGTCAATGAGGAATTCATAGTATGTGAAAATATATGTTTTTTTTAACTTACAGCTAAACTGAACTCACTTTTTGAAGCTTTCTTTACTCAGAACCATTGGAAGAAAAGAATGGACAGCCAGAGCATAGAGAGCTTACTGCACAGAAGTCTACGGGTGTAGAAGGTGTAGCTTTCGAGGGATCTAAAGGACGAAGTTCATGTATCCCAGCCATGGGCTCTGGTCACCTGAGCTGGTGGGCCTCTGGACCCAGGCTACACTGGTGCGGTGGGGAATGGGAGTGTGAAGGAAGGGGGCAGGTACAGACTTCATCCACCCACGGTTCGGAATACTCCCTGGGGGAGGACTGGCCCCTCTCACTGTGGCAATAGATTCCTGACTCCTGCTGTGCTCCTGTGTATACTCAACTCTTTGGAGTGATCAAGGTTAACTTCAACTCCTGCATCCTCCAACTGTCTCCATGTTCACCCGTGGACTTCCCTGGTGGTGGGGTGCAGGGTGGGGGGACAGGCCTCTCCACCTGCAGCATCGAGTCAGCCCTGGGCAGACAGAGGGAGGGTATCTCTTAAGACACACAGAAACCTCAGGCAGACTTTTTAAAGCTGTACAAGAGAAGAACATCTCATGGCAAAAAGAACTGATGTCAAAAATTTGGTAGTATTTTAAAAATCAGACATAACTCCCAGCTCTATGGTGAGACCAGTGCTTCTTAACAGTGACCCAGAGGCAATGCAAACATCCCCATCAAAAATGATGAACATTAGCACCTTTGGCCTGCAGGACAATTTAGGTTTGAAATAAAGGAAGTGGCTGGTTAATATAAACGTTCTAATTATTCACAGTTAACAGCGTTATCTGAGAATGGTTAAAACGACAGACCCCCGGGGAGGTAGGTGGGATGGAGTCAAACAGCTGTGAGTGTATCTAAGTGTCTATCTCATACGGTATCATATTGTTAAGCCCGTGGAATTTGGTTATTCTGTAGTAGCAGCCAAACTGATGCCTAACTGATGAGCTGTTCCTCAGAGGACCAGGCATTGCATCACCAAGTTTACATACATACAGGGATAAACTTGTAAGCCACTCTCCATTCTGAAGAGGAGCCATAGCATCGGAAGGCCAACTTTAAGTGAACGATAATCAGAGAACGCACCCAAATTACAAGTAAAAGCCAGGTTGCAATCTCATTCCTCCATGCAGCATGGGTGGAGTTAACTCTATGGGCAGTAGCTTGCGAATATGGCAGAATGGGGATGAAGTGACTCTTTAAAGATGGGTGAGATTGGACCAAATTTGAAGGCCCAGAGGGAAGAGTTGGTGGGAAGACAGATCAAGGACAGGGGGAAATGAACTCAGGGAGGAAGTCCTGGAGGAAATGAGGGGGGATGGAATGGAGGGAGGGGCATGTCTTTGAAAGACAGAAGGCAAGGATGGATCAAGATAACTTCACCACCCACCTCCACCACCCGCTCCATATCCGTGCTTCCGTTATATGTTTAGAAAAGCTGGGAGCCACATCTGGGCATCTCTCAAAAGTGTCTGAGGATCCTCATGTGGGGGACTCCAGCTCCCCACAATTTTCACGTGTGGGAAGATGGGGCTAATGGCAGCAAGGACTGAATTCTGGTTCTCTTCGAGGCCATGCCAATCCACTCCACTCACCAGTGTTCACGTGAGGTTTCCACCTTCTGCAACTCACGGGCGGCAGCAGCGGGAGGACCCGGCGTGAAGTCACATAGCCCAGGTTCTCCCCCAC